AAAAAAAAGGTTCACTACCAACTACATACTGTACATTTAAACGTCAAGGGAATTTCAGGCACAGATGTGCTATCGCAGTAACTCTGCTCACTGCAACTCTGCTTCCTATCTCGGGTACCTCAGCATGCTTTACCAAGAARAGGAAGAAAGCAGCCTTCCCCTTTGATTCTCTCTTTCCTCTCACTGGTGTAACACACAAGATCCCCATGCTCACACCATTCCTTATTTCACTGACACAGGCTGCATGCATGCCCTCCCTTGACAAACAAACCATGGCAGATTTGTGTGCCTAATATTCACATACAATTTTTGTTTGCARAACAGCCTGCAACAACTTGGGCAAAGAGACAACACGATTGCAAAGGGAGCTGCAGTGAGCCACGCTGTGCCTTGCAAGCATAAGGGGGCAGGGTTGCACCTGAAATGCCAAATAAGAGCAAGTGAGGATAACGTAGGCTATTGAWGGAGAGTTTCTGCTGGTTCAAGACAGACAGATCTGTTCAACAACTGCTTCTCAGATGTCCTAGCTTTAGAGGACACTGTTTTGCTCAAATCCAGAGCAAGAGTAATTCCAGTGGCAGGGATGGTGGCACATGAGTGAGGGCTTGTCTTAGCATCTCACCAGAGAGCTGCTGAAGGCATCAAAACAAAACGAATGTGCTGAGACATTTCAAGGAAATTAAAGGAATGATGGACAAGGTGCCTACATGAAGCTACAAGTAAGCACAAGGTGGAGCTCGGAGAAATAGAAAAATGATGGCTTGAGGAAAAATGATGCTGAGAGCACAGGCTGATCAAAGCGAGGGGGTATGKCTTGGGGAAGCAGGAGAGTTGGTACATCAGGTACAGGGAGACTGCCAAGGACACTTGAAAGCGAAGCCAGTGACTGACACGTCCAATGCAGGGGGAAGAGGAAGCAGTGGAAGGACTGCCAAAGATGCAGACGAGGTGGCAGACTGAGTGAGAGGTGGGCTTTGCAGCAGTGCCACGGATCGACCATGTCATAACAGGATTTCCTCTGCGCAAGCCAGGAAAAGGAGGCAACTGCAGTCATGAAGACGGGGGGTGGAGCGCTTGCAAAAGAGTGCAGGAGATAGAGATGAAAATACACTGACTTCTTAGTATTTAACTTCTAAGTCTCAGACCTATCAAAAACATCAGATTTTTCAGCAACTTCTGGRTGCATTTTGTTGAGATAATTCCTCTTCTGCTTCCATGTAGATGGGATGCAAGGAGGAAAAACTCCATTGCTTCCTGCCTCTGATGGGGAATTTATAGAAAACTTATAATTTGCTCTGCATCAGGAAGACCCAATTATGAACAAAGACACTTGGCAGACACAAGGTATCCCAGTTCAGCCTTTCCCATCTGAAAAGGTTAACAAAATGCACAAGGCAATAACTTCCTAAGCCAAATACATTCATACACATACAGTCATCTACATGGTAATAGTATCAGCTTAGACCTGGATGCTAAAATAGCCCRAGACCCATTCTCCAGCAGTTCCAGATCCTACAGCATGTATCCTGCTGACAGCAAAACACACGTACTGGGTATAACAAGTAGCAGTCTGCAGGCAGGCAAGCCTGTGTGCCAGAGCATAGGAAAGCTGAGGAAACATGAGGGAGGCAGAGGTGACATACCTGCCTCTCCTTCCCCTACCTCGGGTGACAGGGAAGTCTCAGGAAGAAGCAGGGAAAGAAAGCAGTCAGCACACAGCTACAACCAGCATCCATCCCTAGGAGGGACAAGCCCTTCTAGGCGTAACAGCAGAGAGAAGGCAGCTGGTGGTTTCAGGTTGCCTTTTGTTTCGGTCTGTTCAGGCACAGAAGAGTTAGAGTGAGCTCAAAATGACTGCAAAAAGCAAAATCACAAGGAAACAGACATYGACACTCCAGCTGCATCCTTTATCATAATAAAACTGCCAGCACGATATGCATCCTACATCGTCCAGATTTTACACATTTTTCCTCTTAATCTTTCTCCCATTCTGCTATAATTAGCTAAGAATTAAATTTAATAATAGCTAGTTGTCTTTGCTTATATAAATATTAATCAGCGTGGCAAACTCTCAGCCCTTTACCACTATTTTCACAATTTTCTTCTCACTGTTTAGCATTTGCAAGGGTAGGAACAGTTTGCTTCACTTGCTTTCTGTTCCAAACTTTATTACATGTAGCGAGATGATGTTGAAACAGCCCACAGCTTTTAGTCAGACGGAAAGTGTTTGCAAAGGGTACATTTTTTGTGCATTGATCCTGTTGGGTTTTTTTTTTTTTCGTTTTTCCCACTGTGCTGTCTAAGCTCAGCTCTTCTCCGGGTACATTGGATAGGCATGTTACAATTTATTAGCAGGAGAGCAATTCTTTTCCAGTCATCTTTCCTCCAACAATGTAAAAGAGCACACAGGTGGCAGTCTATGTTTYTGCCCGCTGAGCCAAGAATTTGCTTGCACAGTGATGACCCAATGGTCTGCGCTATCACACCCCTGGGCTGCAGCATCTTTCAGCAAAAGAAACCAGCCCGTGCCTCCCTTCTCTCCGCATCCCTCCTTCCAGAAGCTGTGCAACCCCATGCTGTCCCCACACTCTTCCAGAGCGTTCCCCTTTTTGCCTCCAACAAAACCAATTTCTCCAAATCGAAAAAGCGTTCGCTCAATTTAAGCGCTCTGACAACCSGCGAGGTGAATTAGACTGAAAACAGGTTCTTTCCAAAAGATATTTGTGAACGATCACACACAGACCATAAACCACATACCTCGGTTACACGCTTGTGAAAATCGAATGCCTTCGGTTACAGCACAGGACAGGCAAACCGCTGAGATTGTTCCCTCGGAGCAGCAGCATCGGGGTGGCACGGTGATCCAGTGCGCATAACAGCTTCCCAAACCCGCCGGGGACCTGCCGGCGCGGCACCGCTCGGCGCCGGATAGCGGGAGCGAGTGGCCCCGGCACTGCGGGAACGTGCGAGCAACAGCGCTCGGCCGCCGGGCAGCCGGGGCCGCCAAGGTTCCGYTCGCACCGAGGGTACCAACAACGCGCACTGGGCGATAGGCAGGAGGAGAAAAAAACCACCCCAAACCCGGAGTGTCGACCTGCCTTGAAAAGGAAKACAGCTGACGCCGCCGCGATGCTCCGGCTGGGGATGCTCCGGCTCAGGCGCAGCCTTGCAGCGCGGCACCTTCCTGCCCGCAGCCGCCCCACTGGGGCAGCTCCGCTTTCCGCTCTCCGCTCCCCCTGCGCGGTTCCGGTCCGGCTCCCGCTGCCGTCCCGCGTGTCCGCGGAGCCAGCACCGCCCCCGGCCCGCCCCTCGTCCGTCGCCGCCGCTCCCCGCCTCGGTGCCGGGCAGGGATGCGGGCCCGCGCCGGGCGGGGACGGCCGCTGCCCCAGCGTCCCGGACGGGGCGATCTGTGCTGGGGCAGAGGCTGGGGCCGGCCCGGCGCACCCTCTATGTGCGAGCCCGGCCGAGGCGCTGCGCTCAGCTGAAGTGTGGCGAGCTCTCAGTTCASTGGCGTTAGGGGATGGAAGTCACCGGGCATGGTACAAACCCGCATCAGCACCCGGCTCTTACCGTCCCACGACTGCTGCACAGTATGCACCCCTGAAACGAGTTGCCGGGGCTGGTCCYTTYAAAAAAAAAAAAAAAAAAAACCAAAAAAYAAAAMMMMAMMAAMMCCACATGCTTAGCCCGTATCGCACCGGGCAGAGCCGCCAGTGGGAAATGGGAGCTCCTTCGGAACAGAACAGAGGRGTCAGGTTGTGGCACYATAACTGGAACTGGACATAGCGAGGAAGTGGGTTAGGAAAGTGGTTTCCTAGAAAGTGGAAACTTGCAGGTGTTGTCTGAAAACTCTTCCAAGTTTTCAGATGGCTGCTGAGACCCTCAGGGATATTCTGACATCATGTACACTGGAATAAGTCAATAGTTGTGYTAAAATCAACTGAGATTATAAGGTAGTGTAACCGAAAACAAAACCTGGCTTCCCTAGCTCGTTTGGACAATGACTTACCTACACTCATCACATGCTCTGGAATGAAATATTGAGAAAATGTTGACTGGATCAGATGCATTTTGTTCTGCGGATGCTGTGGAAGACAGGTTGAGCTTGCTTCTGGTACACATGTCTCATCCACTATGGCTTTTTTTTGGCCAAATGACTCTGCTGTGGGTTAGAGGTCAGTGATGAGCACTGTGAAGAGCAGATGGGGAATTCAATGCACCCTCTGCAGCTCAATCTTGTGTCTGGCTAATGTCCATGTGCAGTTCTGAAAGGATGTTGGAAAAGGTTGTTCTTCATTTTAAATTGCTCCTAGGGAACTGCGCAGTTCATAATGTGCTGTGGAGGCACTTCTGTGAGATGTGACACAGTCTTCACAGAGACTTCTTTAACACAGTCTGCACAGTTGCAGTAGAAGAGTAACTTGGAACATCATGAAACAGTCAGTTTTGGAGGAATGAGACATATGGATAAGCAGATAAAAGACAAAGCTTAAAGGAAAAATAATTTCCAAGAATGAAGCATATTTCTCCTTGGTAATAACCAGTGAGTGCAGTGACATACAAAAGAGATGGGTTTGACTTTCAAGTGGCAAAAAAAGCTCTGTGTTTCACCTATGAAAAAGAAAACCAATATTTTTGTGGGTTTGGGGCGTTTTCTTGTTTAGTTTTGGCTTTTCAGAGGGGAAAGTAATATGTATGGCATATGAACAGAAAAAGAATAGTTAGTGCCATGATGTTCCTAACCTGGAAGCAGACCACTGTCTCATTTCAACTTGCAGCCACTGCAGGAAAGGGCACATTTGACAGTGAACTTACTGATTACATCGGTTTCTGTGGAAATATCACAACAAAGCCTGTTGAAACTGTGGGGAAAGAAATATTGTAGACACCTATTAGACTGCTGGCAGTGGTTAAATCAGTGGTTAATAGTCCCGTTGGAATAATTTTTTAAAAAAAACACTGAGAATTTACTATATCCTTTCTTAATTGTATATTCAGACCAGAGGTAGAGACTTTCCGGTACAAGCCCTGTGCCTGGGATGTCATTAGGTATAAAYAGGGACAGATGGTGCATTGAAGTTCTCAACACTTATTTTGCATATAGATAAGGACCGAGGCACAAAACTCTAAGGAGATAAGAGAAGCAAAAGTGATAAAGCAAAATGTTTGAATCTTGAATAAAAGAAAGAAGTCAATGGAAAGGTTTCTGTTACAGCTCAATTATTCCATCAATGGAATTGAAACCTGGGACAGACAGCAAGAATTTTCCCAAGGTCAAGCAGGGAGAAGGACAGAAGGAAAGGCAAATGCAACAGAGCTGAAGGGTTGCTGAGCCAAGCATGCTGCTGCTAGCACGGACAGAAAAAAATAGTGCTTTCTGAAGGAAGCAAATGGTGGTCCTTTGGAATTGTATTATTTTTGTGGATTTTAGCTCAAAAGCTTATCCAGTGAGAAATGAGGAAATTTCTAAGTGCTTCCTAATGATGAATGTGCTTACCCCACAGCATCTGGCATAGGCACTAGTAAACCTTGGCTCTGAAGTCAGATCCAAATCTATCCAGTATGTCTCACACTCTCAACATATGCAGTGTAGGTTAGGTCCTATCATCTTGACTTGTTAGGTACAAAAAAATACAAGTACTTAGGCAACAAGTGAGAATTTGTTTTTGCAGCTGTGCTCTGATTTTTAATTCTTTTCCTGGATAAAGAACCTCTCAAGAGGAGGTGAACAGCACTTCTAGAAGAGGTTATGATTTGTTCAGCAGAGGAGGGAGAACAGGGCAGAAAGGCTTTTGTGCTTTTTGGAGGTCATTGCTGTTTCTAGAGGTTTTTTTTAGCCTGGGCTACRTCACTGATGTCCTGCTGCTCTTTGTGGCTTGCTCATTTGCTGTGAGCTGCCCAGTGGCAGTGGGCAAAGCTGCACCAGAGGAGTTGTTCAGCAAGATCAGACTTCTCTCATCACCTCTGGTGGCTGCGTCAGGACCTCATGCTGAGACCGTGGCAGCAGGAAGCACCGGAGCTCCAAAGTAATTAAGTCAGTATTTTATTGCTCTTCCTCCTTCATGCTCTCTATACAAAGAGCACAGTGGGAGCTGGCCCTTCCTCAGGACAGTGTCTTTCATGCAAAATGTGTTGTAAAATGTTTTGCAATGATAAAATATACCAAGAACATTAAACAGAGAAATGAGAAGACAGATATTTTCAGAGAAGGCTTAAAATAAAGAAGACAGTACAGCAAAGCAGACAAAAATACGTGGAGTCTTGAAATGGTGAGAATAAAATAAAAAGTAACAAATAGAATAACTTTTTTTTCCCCCCCCATACAGTTGCAGTCAGACARGTACTGGCTTTGTCTTGGAGTCAGAGCTACAGGGTGAGGGTCTGGATGGGTCTGGTTGCCTCTGAGGTTCTGGCCTGGAAAGAGTACATCAGGGGCACATCAAGGAGATGTGGCTTGACTTCAGCTTAGTGTGACTGGGCCTCCAGAGTTCAGTGTCATTCCTGCTGCTGCTAGTTGTCTATGAGACAGCATGGCTGTCGTGGATAGCTTTTAGCTTTAGCTTTTAGCTTGTCTTAGAATGCAGAAAAATATGGAATAACGACGACAACAACAACAACAACAACAACAACAACAACAATAATAATAATAAAAAATATATTATTATTAAATATAATATTATTATTATTACAACCGTGATTACTATTATTATTACTATTGCTATTATTACTATTACTATTATTATTATTATTATTATTATTAGTAGTAGTAGTAGTAGTAGTAGTAGTACTGCTCTGATGGTTCTTGATATGATTTCTTGTACCTGCTCAAAATCATTAGGTGGTAGAGTGAGCAAACAGTTTTTTGATTCCTCCACTCTGATGGAATGTCTGCCAACAGAGTTCCTCTATCCAGGCTGTCTGTTTGACTTCACTTTTGTACTTTAGTATTCCTAACTGGTTCATCACAGCCTGGGGAAATTGGAAGAAGTTGATAGGATTCCAGCCTTCTAGGCTTCTATAATATAAAATAAGGAACATTTTATGTTGACATGAAATCTGTCACCAAATAAATGTTTTATCCACATTTCTCCCTTTATCTTTGTGGCTAGAATCTCTACCTGGTATTTTTTTGTCCTCATCAAGGCACAGTGATTAATTTATTGAAATACGTGGTTGGATGCAGATCAGCAAAATTATGCATCTAACAGAGCCATATTTTAAGATTCTGAAGATAAGACTCTCTGAAATGCCTAAAATAATTTTGTTGTCAATAGAAAGTAAAAAAAAAAAAAAAAAACCTTCCAGAGGGAGTTCTTACTCATCCAAATTTGAGTACAGGAGTCAGGTGTACATGAACTTTTCTGGTGCCCTTAAAGCCATTTATATTTGTCCTTTTGTCTATCTAAGAAATTTAGGGAATTCTTCAGAAAGGTCTGCTTCATTACCCTCCCAACATATAGGAACAAGCTGTTAAAGGAACAGTTAAATCCAACCCCAAAAAAATCAGATCCTCATCTGTCCAGCTGAGCTCTCCACTTTAAATATTTACATGTAGAGAATGCAGTTCTACTGAGACCAGGATAAAAGTAAAACCCTCTATTATTTGGACATCCCCTAGAATGCTGGCTGTCTCCTTGTTCTCCACCAAGCTCMCAGGAGAAGGCAGTGAGTTGTAATGTTCTCCTGAACCTGACCATGTCCTCTTAGTGCCTGGATTTGTACTCAGCTTGTAGCAATGCCTTCAGCACCTGTTTTGTCTTGTACATTTTTATGAACATGGTGGCTGAAAGTTAATGAGTTTTCAGGGTAGCATTTTCCAATACTGAAAAGGCTTCAGCACTACAATTTGCATAAACATTACTATTTACTGATGGCCAACAATGCAAATAGGGAAAGTGTTTGAAGACTTAATGAGACATTATTTAACTTCTAATTCCTCCATTACATAAAAGCTACTTGTTAATGCAAGGACCAGCTAAACAAATTCTAAGGGCCAATTAACTCCATCGTTATATATTTTTAAAATACTGTTAGACCACCATTAAACCTAGAATTCTCCAGATACCTCTGATCTTTTTCATTAACTGGAGTAGTTACAAAGAGCAGTCACTGAAGTTCATTCATTCTTTCCATGCTTCCTACTAATCCACTTATAAACTTTGCCATTGAGCAACCTCAGGAGATGCTCTCTTTAA